TCTTACACTGCTAAATTAGGGACTGCTAGCGCAGATAGCCGTTGTCTAGCTTTGTGCAAAATTCAAAAACAAACAAATGAGCTGCTCGCATTTGCTGGCCTTTGGAGAATATCATGCAGGCTGGGATGTGGACAACTCCCAATACATTCATAGCATATTCTCTGCATGACCTGGCTGTTTTTTCCTTGGGCAGGTATTGTCTTCCTCTTGTGGTGATTCTACATACACCTGTTTGCTTTTGACTGGGGTAAGTTGACATATTAATTTTCCTATATATTTTTAGTTGTTACATATCATATGTTAGAATCCCACCTGGTAACAGGTGTTGCCTGGTCATGTATGCTTCATATTATATTTACACTAGATATGAATAATTCTATAACACTCACAGTTGAGATGGGGTGTTTCTGTAAGACCACTGGCATTTTGTCCAGTGGTATGTGTATCTATAATTTTGTTTTTACTAAAATTCATGATTCCTATGATCAGAGTCTAGATACTTTTCAAAATAGGGAATCACAGACACTTATTACACTTGCTCTGGTGTATCATTCCTCCAGACTTCCCAACACATATCCCCCCCCCACCTCTTCTAATGGAGCAAGGGAGCTCTTACCACTTCTGATTTCCAGTTGCTGGAGTAGTGGAACAGGTTTTTCTCTCTAGCTCATTTACTGGCACCATACTATGACTCCCTATCATTATGTTTGGTACTACATCATGTTTTTACGATGGCTCATTATGATGTTGATGTGGACAGAGGGCTAGTTATGATGACCTTCATGATTGCTCTCATAACAGTAATTATATCTTTCATAATCCTCTGTATCCAAACCACTTCCCATGGATGTTTTTGCCTGGGCAGACTGCACTTGTTGATTGCTATATCTTATACAAGACATTTTCACTGGATATTTTGCTCAGATGATTCAGTGCTATCTGTCTATTTATTGACTTCATTTGTGCCTGTTAATTCAGTTCCACCCCAATTGTGTTACTGTATTGATTGCTGGGTGAAGAGCATATCTGTTTCAGAAGCAGTGCTGTATCCCACTGATGTGCTTTCTTTTCATATTCTAGAACACCTGTTCTTTCAGTGTGGCTGCTTTCTGCTTGACTTGAGATTGATGCACCTTCACCAGTCTCTCCACCTTCACAATATGGGATTCTAGCTTTATGTTAACATTTTCTGACTATGAAAATCTATTTCCAATAGGTACTCATCCCAACTTACCCACTTCCCACCCTTCCTCCCCACTAAGATATCAGTGTTTATGGTTTATGCCTGCCAATTCTTGGAAGTGAGGATTGTTCTAGAATAGTAGAGGGAGCTAGCTGCACAAGTATAGATGGTGCAGTACAATTGGTGGAAAGTAGTCACATGATCAGCATGTGTTCTGAAATGGCGCAAAACTTATATATGGGGTATAAAGATTGGTGCATTGTAGCAAACCTGATTTTAGCAATGCTTAGAGGGCAGACTAGTATCAAGATAGCTTTGGGTGAAAGAGGGTAAGTACCTATTGGAAATACATTTTCAGTGTAACAAAATTTTAATTTCTGATTATATTTCAGGGTTAGAAGTATTTTTATAATAGAATATGTGTTGTAATAGAAGATTATGTAATATAAAGTTTCTTTTATATTTAAAGGTTTTAATAACGTTGCTACACCTACAGAAATTTAGCTGATTGTCTTGAATTTTTGTTGATAATTTGGATAAGAATCTGTTAACTTGTATCCTCCTTTGAATTAACTATAAATGCTAAATTATTGTGTCAGGGTGGAGAACATTTCTAATCAATTACATTCTGATTAATACCACTGTAGTAATTTATCCTTTAATTGCAACTACAATTGTATTGCCTTTCCTAGTCCATTAAAGATATTTTTCTTTCAAAACCACCAATTTATTCTTTTAACTGCTTCAGTACATTTATGTTGTATTTAAGTGTTATTGACAAGATTCAAAAAAACAAAAATGCTACAACTGAACTCTGTATGATGATTTATAACACCTTCATGTGAATCTGTTTTCTTTCAGCAAATAAAACTTTAAATTATATCTATGTAAAATGGTATGAGATTTTGAAAGTAGTGCCTAGGTGTCTGTTCAGATGTCATTTTATATAATTTTGGTATTAAAGAAAGCCCTCCAGATTTAACCTGTCACTACCCGACTTAATGAAATAGTATCTATATATATATCTGAAAATGAGTATGGTATTTTTGCATAATTCTGGCTATCCATGTATTTTTAGGTGAAAGTGAGAGTAACACTTCAGATGCAGAAGTTTCTTCAGCAAAGAAACGTAAACCTGGTAGACCCAAAAAACATTCACCTTCTAAACCAGATGAAGTCACAGGTGAGTGAAAAGTATAACTGCATAGTCTGGTTAATATATTTTAAGAACATGTTATAATGTATGTCTATTCTGAAGGTCTTCTAACTGAAGAAAAGCTAGAGTAAGTTGAACACATAACTTCATAACATTAGCTTTCTATAACTGTATAATTTCAGTAATATACTGATCACTCAGAATTCGTTTTTGGTCTACTCGGATGATCTAGTGCAGTGTGGAGATATTGGTTGATTCTCTGTTTTCATTCAAGTGATCTGATTTGATGTTATGTTGGTATCAAGAAATATATTCATTGTTTGATTATTTGTCTATATTTGTCAAAGGCTCAATTAGTAGGGTATATGACTCTTGTTTTCTAGTTTCTTATCTCAGTTTTGTTGATGTCTTTTTCTTTGAGTGTCTGTGTTTTTTCATACAACATGATCAGTGACATCATTAATGACTTTCTTGCAAATCATATGGATTCATTGACTCATAAGATGTTGGGTATATCTGTTGTTGAATTTCATATGCTATAAAATTAAATTTTTAAACCAACCATTTAAGCATTACTTGCTATCTCTCTGTAAGTCTAATTTTTTACATAACTATGAAGATTCTTTCTTGTTGTTCACAGTATTTAATTTTACTTAAATGCAGTTGTATAATCAGTACAGGTTTTGTTATCACTTTTTTTTCTATCCATACTTAATGTTTGGATTTGTGATTTGGTCATCTTTTGTTCAGAAACCATTGTTTCAAAGCAGCCAAAGAAGTTAGCTTTTCTTAAGGCTAAGGCTCAAGCCAAGCAAATGAAAACAGAGATGAACAAAACAAAGGTAAGCATTAATACTTCTTTGTATTTTAGAGAAATATTAGGCAATTTAGATATTAGTTCAATTCAGGAATTTTTTAGTTCTTCACTCTAAAATATTTATTTCTTAACCATATGCAGATTAGGTTGATTCTATACTTTGTTCCATCCCCTTGCAGTGTGCAGTTGACAAGAAAAATTAGCATCTGACACTGGAATGTTATATTTTTATTAACTGGAACATTTCTGTAAATTCAAATGTTCTTCCAGACGTTTTAGAAGTACAAAATAGTGCTTCTACCTACTCCGATTGTGCAAAGCAAGAGAGAAATTATTTTTAGAATATGTGGTTTCTGCCTATATTTGGGAATAACATAAAACTTTTTTTTGTACATATGAAAGACAAACTACAGTTATGAGTAATATAAAGAACTTTTTTTAATTCCTAAAGATTAAGTTATAAAAATGTAGTTATTATCTAAATATAGGCCCCCCAGTAGCACAGTGGTATGTCTGCGGACTTATACTGCGAGAAACTGGGTTTTGATACTCGTGGTGGGCAGAGCACAGATAGCCCTTTGTGTAGCTTTGTACTTAATAACAAACAAACAAACAAAATCTGAATATATAGAATTTCTTTGAAGGACAGGTAATTTTTGTATATTTGTAGCTTGTACTATTTTGTAATGTACATTTTAGTAATAATATTTCTTAATACAATAAAACATACAGAAAATGTACACTTACAAGAAAACTGGATAATTTGTATAATAGCAACTGAGTTATTTAGCTTTTGAAGTCTGTGTTATTGAAGTAGTAAGCCTTTCTATTTCAGATATTGATGAATAGGTTTTCTTTTTTGGATTTTTTAAAATTTTCTCCCCATAATATTATGTAATATTTCATTCCTGGAGGTGGATCTCCATTAAAATTTAGAAATAAATTCTGCAACAACTTTTTCCATGTGATATTATCACTAGTAAAATTTAGTAATTTAAAATCAACTTGCAGTTTTGCATCCTTCATTATTTTCATATATTGAACTATGTAATGATCGGACAACCTCTGTTCTAGCCAGTCTTTTGTGCTGATATCATTTATGGACAGCTGATGTGAAAAATTAAACATTTTCTTCAGACTCGTAGTGAATCAGAATCAAAGGTGTCATGTTTCGAGGAAGATATCTGGTTTCGTCGTCGTAGCGAAAGGATTTTTCTTCATGATGCTGGTGTTGTTCCTGGAGCCATGTCTCCATGGAGAGGAGAAAATGTAGACCTTTCCTCCACAAGTGTGAAAGAATTATCTGTGAATGATTCAAAAAAATTTATTTCACAGCCACAAATAAAATATGAAACGACATCCAAAGTATGAAAGCTGTTTTATTAAGATAAATTAGTCATAGATATTTTAAAAACTTCTTTAATTTTTAGTTTAACACCCAGTCTGTGAGTCAGGGAGACATTTTTGATGTGTTAATTCCCAAACAAAGCTTTCCAGTATTATCTTTTTTGTAAAATTGTGAATAGAGATTTGAACTCCTTGCAATATTTGGAATCTGAATTGCCCACCAGCATGGCTGAATTCACACTAGTTTCCAGGCTATGAGGGAGTCAAACCCACACCTCCCATCTAAAATTCTACTCAAAAGATAGTAGTGGCTGCACATGTTTTGCAATACAAGATAAGGTTCCTTAACTCTGTAAAACCATTTTCTCCACAGTTTCTATGAGTCTGTTGATACAGATGATCAAGGAAGGCTCAACAAAACTTACTTGTCACTGTAAGATAGCTAAGTGCAGTATCTGCCTGAAGTGTAGTAGATGTGGTATTTTCATGATACACTGATGGCATTCAAAAAGAGGTTTAGGGAGGAGCAAGAAGATGAAGAATTTCCTTCTGACCAGCAGATCAAGTTGAAGATAATTCAGTTAAAGCATGTTGCTAAAGAGTGAGAGATAAGGCTACTGTAGTCGCTTTTCTTATGGCTGCCTGAGACGATTGTGTACCAATAATTATTTGATGAGAAATTCTCAGTTATATGAAAAATGTTTTGATAATACTGAGTTACATAGTTCCCTTTTGTGACAATGCATAAGCCATCAATGTGTGAAAAAGTAGTACTGTGGCATGTCCGGTCATCATAGTCTTTGTTGTGATAGTTTCTGCTTGAAATTGTAGACAAACACTTGCCAAGTCAGTTACAAGAGCCACTCTGGTGTGTGAAGGTTGAGATAGTAGTAGTAGTAGGAGCAATTGCAGTAGCACCAGCATCACTAGCACAGCACATGAGGAAATATAGACCAATCAATGGTTTTGTCTCTGTTTTAGACCAATCAAGATCTAATATCCATAAGTACTTTTTATTTAACCAGTCATGGTACATCAACATGAATACTTTCGGTTTTTGCAAGAGTAACACAGTATAGTCAACACCCTAAACTTTCTATCTCCATCCCCAAACACTATTGAGAGGTGAGTTCCTTTGGCAGTAGGGTGTGGTTTTTTTTTTCTTTAGGTTAAAAGATTGAGCCTTTTATCAGAGTGCATATTTCGGTTCTAACTGAATACTGGAAACTGTGACACTGCTCTGTAATCCACCCAATCCCCCAAATTCAGTGTCATAGATTCATGGACTGGGTGTTAAATAATAGTCATCATAGTTATTTGCATGCACATAAATTTCCGTATAATTTCAGTATTCATTTTGTTTTTGAAAACGATACTTTTGACAACATTATATTTAAGAACAACAACTGTTATGAATAAAATCTTGCATAAGTTCATTTAAAATTATATTTGTAGCTTTCATTTTAAAATTATATTTGTAGCTTTCATTTTAAAATGCTTCAAGATTATTTGGACAATTCCAATATTTTTTATTAAACTTATAATTTTGGTAAGCAAACTTTTATTTCAATATACAAAAAGTGCATTGAACAAATGCACTATTCAGCTCTCAAAAAAATGTTTTACAATGATGATAATGATGCCATGTTTCTCTTTCTGTCACTGACTTCACATTAGAGAAATAATAATTTCTGTTTTTATTTACTAGAATTCAAGAAGTAACAGTAAATCTGAGGATAAATCTGAATCCTCCAAAAAATTAAAGGTGAAAAAAGATTCAGAGTTATCAAGCAAGAAAATGAAAACAAAAGAAAACAAAAAACAAGTATGTATGTTTATTCATGTTTGTAGTTGTATTGTGAGCTAAAGTATTATGAACATGCTTAAATAATTGAATAATCTTTAATTTCACAAGAAGCAAATTTTTAGTTCTTAATTTTTGAGTTGTACATCTTTATCAAGGGACTGAAGTACAGAAATACGTGTGTCTGTACTGCACAGTCGTCTGATAAAGATGTATGACTGAAACATTGGGAAATAAAGGTTTAATTGATCTGAAGTCAACAGTTGTACAATTACTCAACAATTTTTTTTATAATTTCTTTAAAATACTGATTTTGCTCAAAAGTACCAGATATATAAAGAATGCATGTTTTCAAGCATAATATCATAATTTTTTTTAATAATAAAATGTTTTTGGATGATAAAAGAAGCCAACAATTTGAATTGATGAATATTTTAAAGTAAGGGAATTATTAAGAAGAAGAAATTTAAGGATTGTCTTTTGTATTCCATAAAAGATAGCAAAAAATTTTCAATTTTAATTATTCTTTTAAATTCATAATATAGATTAAAGACATGAAATTACACAATATTTTAAACTTAAAATTGTAAGTTATGTATTCAACTATAAGCTTTTGAATTTTAAGCAAAAATGATCACAAACATTTACCTGTAAATGGCTCTGGGAAAGGAGCCTAACACTTGAAGTTCAGTAAAAGTAAAGCTAAGATGTGAAAGTCTAAAAATTATATACTTTTATATAACGCACTATTGTATTTTTTAAAACTCTATGTTTTGTCATAAATATGTAGATTTCCCTGATTTCAATCATTTGGGAGTATTGTTAAAATATAAGAGTACAAATACTAGTAATCTTTAAGGTGTAACATGATAATTTGCTTTTATCATTTTCTTTTAAATTTATAACTTGATTTGCTAATGAAATCTTTTAATATAATTGGATTACAGCTAATGCTTCATGTTATAGTTTAGGTTTATTAGTTTTCAGATATTTTAAAGATTTAAGGATATTGTTGTGACTAAGCAGAAGAAGGGATTTATTATAATATTATAGCATTTTAACTCAAAAGACACCATGTTATATTATTCATACAAAGAAAATAGTCAAACATCCAGTAGCAATTCCATGATTCTAAATGTAAGGTGTGAAGGGATAACAGACAGATTGGTTTGGGAGCAAAGTTTTTAATTTCATTCTTACTTTCAAAGGATAGGAGAGGTCATGAAAGTAGGATTAGTTTTGCTGCAGGATATTTTCATGGACTTGTATATATATTTTAGTAAACTCAAAGTTACTAAGGTAACACAGTGAATAGCTTTCAGATGTTCTAAGCTTTTATTCTGATTGGTTGTAAAGAAAACAGGACTAACAAGAGATTGGATGATGATTTGTTGGGGGGGATTTTCTTGTCTACAGTTGCCTGGTGCCTGAAGACAAGGTATTCTGTGAGCTGTAGTTTTTCAGTGGAAATTTTCGAGGAGGTAGATAAATGTTTCAGGTTGAGCCTGCCACCTCTCACCTTACCCTGACATTGCCACTGCAAAGTGTGCTAATTAATCTAAAATGCACTTTGAAGTTCTATTAGTTTCTTCGTCTTCAGGCTTGTGAGATCAGTCAGGTCATCAAGAGAAACGACTGTTCTATATAATGTATATAAACTTTTCAACTACATATCATGTCAAAAATATACATCTAGCAACTCATTCCAAATCTTATGATTTCTCTTTTACTGCATTTTATGAAAGAGAAAAAAGAAACCACACGTACAACATCTCTATAAAACAGATAAAACTGCATCTCGTGTAGGTAGCATGAAAATATAAAAAAAAATTTTGCAATGACAATAAAATATTTATCTAGTGGTTACAAAATCAAGTTACAGATATATTCCTCTTAATTATTGATTAATATTTATCAGACACACTTTCTTTCAAGTGAATGTAAATGGTACAGTTAATCTATTTATGAGCAACTCTTGTTTACAGTTCTGAAAATATAACTACAGTATATACATTACAAATGTTATGTTCAGATCAGAAGAAGATTTGAAGAAAACACAAATGTCTTAATTTTCTTTACTTTAGCAAAAGAAAGAAAAGATGGTTCCAGATGATTTGTTTACAGCTCTAAAGAAGTGTCGACTTAGTGAGAGTAGCCAAGGGATTACATCTCCTCATCCTGCAGATCTGGAAAATTCAGAGAGCAGTGAAGGAGAAAATATTCCTTTAAGTGCCTTAATTGACAGGTCATCTACTCCAGGTTAGTTGAAATATTGGCTGTGTATTGTTGTCTCTAATAATTTGTGTGTTAGTTTATATTAAGAAGTTGTCTTATTGAGATTAGAGTCAGATTTTGTGAAAATAAGAAATAAACACTAAAACTTTAAAATTAAGATTTTACAATATATTATTATTATAGTTTTAATTTTTTCATGCATTGTTGCTCAACGAACTGTAAGGCTGTGAATCATTTTGTGGATATATAAATCTATAATGTTTGCAACAAAACTGATTACAAGTAAACCGTTTTCTTGCTTAAGACATTACATGCAAAATACATAATAACATTTTGAGCTTTTCTTGGAGAGCTCCGATCCTGCCTTCTTCAGCCTCAAGAACTGGATGAACATCTGAGAGTTTTAACAATGGATGACGGCTTATTTTATGCTGGGACTATTAAAGCCATTCAAGCCCCTGATGTGTGAGTTCTGTTTTTATTTATGACTGTATTTAATATGATTATCTGTTGTAAAAAGAAAAGAATGAAATATTATAAAGCAAGTTTTTTCTTTTTGTTTAAAAAAGAATCAACCTTTGGAAGTATCTGTAAATCAGATTAACTGAACTGCATGAAAAAGGCTCTAAATTCGTCTTTTTTTATATTTCAAAAAAAAAAATTTAATTGATTGAATGATTTTTGTGTAATTTGTTTATTTTTAAACTAAAATAATTACAGATAATATTATGTTATACAACATGTCAATAATGTAATTAATTGTATGGATTTGTCATTTACAGCTACAGTTTCTTACATTTTTATGCTCTAAAATTGTGCAATCTGTTTGGAACATATATAAAATAAATAAAAGAAGAATCATACTAGAAGCTGTTAGCTTGAATTGAATATGAATAATTTGTAAAAATGTAATTGACTTCATTGCCATAGGAAGCAATTTTTGAGTGGTCAGGCCATTACCATAACTAAACAATGTGACACACTAGCATTCAAAGCATGCCGTTTTCAGGAGTTTTGGGGGCATGCTCCCTCAGAAAATTTAATGCTATCAGACTGAATCTTGAGCACTCTTAACTACAAACACTCATACACACAAGATAATGTATTGAATTAAAAAAAGCAAGTTTTAATACATAAGTGGTCAGGCCATGGCCTGACTGGTTTTACCATTTCCTACAGCCCTAGACTTCCAGTTTTTTATTTTAGGAATTTGTAAATTTGGTGACAGCTTAAAAAGTTTTCTGTTTCAAAATCATTATTTATTTATGTTAACCAGAGAGAGAGAAAACTTTGGCTAATTAGAATCAGGTTAGCATTAAAAATTATATTTGATGCTTTTTATCTTGTGTTTTAAAGCTAAATGAGTGCATGTCACTGAGTAAATTTGGAGTTCGGTTAAGAGCAATTGAATCTATCTCAATTTGTGAATTTTCCCTTCTTTAACTTAAAAATTAATCTAAAGACTTCCTGTTTTTGAGGTAAGTACTGAAATTTTAACTTTTATGATACTGAGATTTATTTTTGTTTATGTAGAGTTGCTATTTAAAGTTATTTTGCCAAACACAAAAATTAATAGTTGTGTCTGTTGTTTTAAAATTTGTTGAACAAAGTGAAAAAGACTTGCATGTTATGAACATTTTACATGAATGTAAACTCCAATATGGCTAATACTTTTGAGAAATTGTTTCTGTAAACCAAATCCCAATCTTGATACTGAGCTGTTTTGTTTTTCATGTGTATGTTGCTTGAAACTTGTGCAAAGAAGAAGAATTTAATGTTGTTATCTTACTTTGGTTTATTGTTAATAAGTTACTCTTAAGAACATATTAAATGTTATTGCTAAAAAAAATCATTTTGACAGGTATGGCATTACAAGAGATGGAGAAAGAGGGAACAGACCTCACATTTATTCTCGGGAGGAAATTTTAAATGAGGCTGTAAGTAAACATAAATGAATGTATTTCTGTTTTTGTTATTGAAGTTGAGTATTCTTGAATTATATAGTTTAACCTTGTTTGTATTCTTTGTCATGAAAATTGCAATGGTACAAACTCTGTGTGACTTTTGTTTGTATTATTTACAGATTGTTGAAGTAAAACCAACATCATTGCGCCATCTACCAGAGGGGCGGAGAATTTGTGCATTTTGGAGTCAGCAGTATCGATGCATGTATCCTGGAACTGTGGCTAAATGTGAGTCTGTGCCCTAAAAATAATTACTTTTCCTTCTGGAGGAGTAAAAATAGTTTGTCATATAGGATACTAAGTTATTCAAGATATTATTGATTATTTATCAGAAATTCAGTCATTTCCTTTTGTTCATATTCTCAGCATCCAGTCCCAAGCGTGATTCAGATAGGGATATGGTGTATGTGGAGTTTGATGATGGGGATTCTGGTCGAATATCTCTCAAAGATATATGTATGCTTCCACCAAATTATCCTGTTGTGTGTAAGTTTGCTGTTGTTTTTACAAGGTGTATTATTACACCATATGTTGTTGCATTTGGATAACCTTTTTGCTTTAAAAAAATTATTTTTCATTAATATTAACTTCTTATTAGAGCAAGCTATCTACATCAGAACCAAAAATATATATACCTAGTATATATATACATATATAGTTTTCAAACTAAATTACTTGTAATAATTAGAATGCATTGTTTCACAAGATTCAGCCAGCAAAGGAGACTTAGGTTATTTTTAAATTCATAAACTAAGATAACAAACATTATATTAGATATAATAAAAAATAAAAGTAGATATATTAAATATTCTAACCAACACTGTGGTAAAAGTGTACTTGGCTTGGCTAGCTTAGTAGATTTAGGTTAGTCCTATATCTGTAAACTAAACTAACACTGAGAAATAATTATTATAATAATAAAAAATCATAATAGCAAAATATTACAGTTACTTATAATAAATATAATAACCAGTAATGTTAATGAAAGTAACTTGAAGGAAAGGCTAGGGTATAACTAACTTGCAGTTGTTGCAGGAAAATAATTAATACTCATTGCTCATCCAAAATGTTTTGTGTATCATAGAATTTTAAAATTCTAGCTTATACACTGGAATACTTGTAGTATTTATTATTTTCTGAAGAAACTGTTCTGTATTTCTCAATTAAAATATTTATTTTTTAACTTATTTAATTTGGAAATTAACATGAATGTGATAAATTATATAGTATAGGTATAACTGAAAACATCCTAGGTGCATATATGTTGGTTAGGTTATTTGTTTTAAGTTCGGTCATAACTCATTTGTAAATATCTTAATGAAAATTTTATGGCCAGACTTCAATATATTTTTGACAGTGTTCACTTTTCTCTGTTTCAGCAACTGATCTCAATCCTCTTATGTTGCTTGGAAAACGAAGACAGCACCAAGTTTCAGAAGGAAGTATCACAGACAATTCAGCTACCACATCAAGTCATAATGGAGAAAAAGTCAAAATAAAAAAGAACAAAAATAAATCCAAGTCTGGAAAGAAAAGTAATATATGTTATTATTCTCAATAAATTAAATCTTAACAAGTAACAAATAATATTGCTTAATTTTAATACATCATATGATCAAATATAGACACTTGAAACAGTAAGAAATATATCAGATTAATAAGGTTTTGTGTAAATTATGTTTTCTCAGCAACATGGTCTGTTTTCATAAGCAAAAACCTGTATGTAACATCGTTCTCTCTCTTTCTATGTTACAATGTATGTAGCTTCTTAGAAGAAACGTGCCTTTTATATGTGTGCACTTTACATATGCTGGAGAGATATTTTTTCTTTTTGCTTTACTCTCATGTAAATATTACGTACGGGACGAAGTGAAATTTTTAAACAAAAAACGACATCTAGGTTTATTTTTTAAGCCACAATTTATAATTCTGTTGCATTTACATATAAAAACCTATATTCTACATTTAGTTATAATGCATTGCTAAGACTAACTAAAATATTTTATTTTTAGAATGCATAATGAATATGTAAATAACCCACAATTAATGATTTATAACCTCAATAGACAATGATGTAAAAAGATGGTGCTTTATCAGTTGCCTCTATTATTGATGATGAAATTTACTTTTAAATTAATTTTTGGCCTCTCATGTTAAACATCCACTTCATAACTTTTCTAACATCAGCACTTCTAAAGAAGGAGTCTAATGTGCCATTAGTAGTCAATTGCTTTCTAAAAACGTTATCAGAGCAATCTGTGTGATGAATTTGTAATTACTACCAGTGAGATGAATTGATTTAATCACAGCTGTTGGATCATTGTACTGGATTTTGTTTTGTACGTGGGTGTAGAAGTGGAGGCAGAGCTTTATCCAGGCAAAATGTAACAAAATGTGGCTGCAACTCAAATCCATACAGGGTGTTTTATAGGACGCTAGAATCATTTTCCTTGTCAAACATTTTGTGAATGATTAAATTGTGTTCTCATTACACTACTATGAAAGTTAAACATCCTTCTGTTGAACATCTTGATTTAGAAAAATGACAACAAACATGATTAAATATGTTAATATTTTGTCTGGTATCTTAAACATTAATTTTTTAAATGTAGTAATTTTGCACACAAATAAAATACTTTATTGAGCACATGAACTAGAAATAAGGCATGACAGATATAATTTGTGTAGTAAACATTACTGAAAATAAGTGAACATTGAAAATGTTGGTAATGGTAATGTTTTTTTTTTCTTCTTGTTGATGGTAAACAAGAATCATTTAAGGAGTGAAATATTTAAATACACCATTGCTACATGGTAAACATAAATGAAACACACCAGGTGGGAAAGAATAAACTTGTATTAAATGGTGTTTGTTTAGTGACAAGGTAGTTTCAAATTTCAAATTTTTTTTTAAAGTTTCTAGAAATACCTCACCATAAATATCACTAATATTTTTTTGTGATATGTGATGTTTACTACAGTGTACCAGATATTGTGAAAAAGATTCCATTGCAAGACTTTTGCCTGATTTTCTCAGTGGTAAGAGATAAAAATAGTTGGTAAAAAACTTAAATTGTAATTTTTTTTACTCGTTATGAAGTTAATTATCTAATTAATGAACAATCTTTATCTCCACAGAAAATTATAAGTCACAAAACCAGAACATGGATGTTTACTCACAGATGGGTGATGTTTCTTACCCAGAAACACTTTTATCGTTTTCTGGTTCAAAGGACAGCAGTTTTATCAGTACCACTACTTCATACAGTGCACCTTTCACATTAACAACATTTGCTGCCACTACAACTACAGCTGTAAATAATGGGAAAGCTACTTCAGTGTATTCATCTAAGAAAGAAAAGAATAAAAACTCGCAAAAAAAGAAATCCAAGAAAAGCAAAGGTGAATCTAGAAGTAAAATTAAAGAGAAATCTAAAGAAAAAGAATGGCATCATATTGGTAGTTCTTCAGAAACAAGTTGTGGTCCTCCATCATTGAAAACAAAAAAACACAAGAAACATAAAGATGATCATAAGCATCGGCGGCATCACCACCATCACCACTGCCATCATCACCACCACCATAAGAAACACAGGCATGAAAAAAGAAGCAATCCAAGCAGTCCTGAACATTGCATGTCTTCATCTTGCAGTGATGCAAATACATCAAAAGTTGTTTCATCATCATCAAGAACATCTCTCACAGAGAATACTGCAAGTGTTTTAAAAGATACATCTTCATCTTCCCAGCAACTGCCTCTTGTGGAAGTATCTTCTGAGTCTCTCACAATTGAAGAAAGAAATCCCAGTACAGAGAGAAAGAAGTCAGAATTGATGCTGAAGATTAGAACTAATTCCACTGACATTCCCCAAGAACACGATAAAGAAATATATAAAGAGGATAAGAAAGATGCAGACGTGGAATCTTCCTCCGAAAACAGCAGTGATAGCTCAGAGAGCTCTGATTCTTCAGACAAAGAAAGAACAACTACAACATTATCTACTGTTAATGAAGAGTCTCAGCAAAATATAAAAAAGGTGATTTTATTTATCGGGCATTATTTCTTGGGTGGATTGAACCTGTAGTGTGTAAAGCTAGTGTATTTGTCAGAAGTATAATATGAAAAAATATAAAAAACTTGTTCTCCATATGTGTGTCAGTATTAATATGTACATATTAATATGAAATTTGTTTAAAATATTTATTCATTTAATTTAGAAGCAAATGTAATGCTGTTTGATTAACATTTAATTAATATCCTCAATTTATTTAAGCTGTCATATATAGGGTTATTATTAAATTTGTTGACTTATTGTGATGTCCATAGCTCAAAAATTTTTATATTTGGCAGACAAAGTAATGAGATGATGGGAAAGGCAATTCTAATTCCAAAAATAATGATAGCCAGTAAACACTGGTCATTACATTTTTATGATGAGATCAGTATAAAACCTGTGTCAAACATATGGTAATTCATTGTCTTTAGATATGGTTCCTTCTAGGTTGTCTCATTAACTCCTCTACCAAATATTATAGCCCTCTGATGATTAATGTTTGAATCAAGGATGTTAAAATATTAGAGAGTTATATTTCTTTAATGGTATCATAGATTTTTTTATATCTGCTATTTTTGTTTATAACTCTCTAAATTGTTTATATTATGTTATATAGACTTCTAAATCATCTGAGGATAGCGAGAAATTCAGTGAGAAAAAGAGGCGAAAAGATCGCCTCCCTTCAGTTGAAAAAAGTAAAATAGCAGGTGAGAAATAATGTTTTAACAGTAGTTGATAACCTTATTTTTTTCATCACATGTATATATTTTTTTTTATTTACATTTACATTTCAGATGTTTGCTCTTAAGTTCTGATTAACTCTATCTACTTAATCTTTTTAACATCAATTTTAGAATATTTTTCTAAACTTGTTATTTTATTTGCATGAATGATTCTGGTGGTTTAATATTTTAATTTCTGTTCTCAAAATCTTTAAATAAACTCTTTTAAAACTTTAAATCCATAGACTTTTTATTAACTAAATTCTTTTCTCATTTCTATATTGGAATAACAAAGATTGAATTTTGTTTGATTAAATTCTTGTTTTTTTATTAAAAATGTTCAAAGATATTTCCTCATTCTTTTTCCTATCTATTTTGGACCTTTTCAAATACTATTAAGAAAACTTATTACCAAGCAGGGTTGTGTGCATGAATTATTTTAGTTAGTCCTTGTTTTGTGTTGGTCCATGTTTCATTCTTTGTATGTGTGTTGGAACGATCTGTCTGCATGGAAATTCAACATGTTGCATGTGACTTACTTTATACTTCACAGCCTTTCTCCCAGCTCAGCAACTGTGGCGGTGGGCTGGGAAAAGTTTCAGACGAGCCAGCACTAAAGGAAAAGCAAAGAAAGAGTTTTACAAGGCCATCATCAGAGGAAAAGAGACAATCAAGGTAGGCTAGATCTGTACTAGGTAGTATTCCATAGTAAGAAAGAGTTGTCCTAATTATCCTGTGAATATGATGGCTGCAGCAGTACTAGATATTCTACTTAGCCAAAACCAGATAATTTTGCTCATAGTGAGAAAACTGATTTTTGATATTTTAAATCTTTTGAAGCATAATAAAAAATGTTTACCAGCATGTTAGTTACAGATTTTCTGGTTCTGTCTTTATCATTTATTGTTTAACTCATAAATTACAGACTTGTTTTTATACCATTCACTACTGGTGAGGTATACATATTCCATCATATTAAGTAATCTTATGTTCTTGCCCATAAAACACTCAATGTAAAGAACTGATTGAAAAAAAATGGTGAAATCACTCAGCTTCTATATAAAATGCTCAAGCAACTCCTGTGTGATAATTAGTTGGATTAATTGCAATACTTGTGATATTTTTGGACCTATAAGCAATCTGCTACTTAAATTAACAGTAGCTTATGATCAAAGCAACCTGTTTTCATAGATCAGAACTGTTGTTGTTTTTTAGCACAAAGCTGCACAATGGGAAATCAACCCCCTAGATTTTAGCTTTGTAAGTCAATAAACTTACTGCTGACCCACCATATAATAGATCAGGACTAAAAATTAACCCAGTAAATAATGCAGGATATAAAAGCTGATAAGGGTTCATGGACTCCATCAGTAATTCTAGGGTTAAACAACAGTTAGTACTTTTTTTTCTTCGTTTTAATAATATTTTGCATATTAACTTATTTTAGATTAGGAAATGTATATTACAAACGTTACTAATAAGAAACAATTATGTAACACTGGAAGTACAACATACTGTTTATATCAAAAGTTTTATCACAAAGAGATAATCAAAGGGTAATGTATAGATACATATACTGGGAATGTTAAACACTAAATAACATACATGATAATCTACTTTCTTTTCTTTTTTTGTGTATAAGTGAATGGTTTTGGAGAGAAACAATTCAGTACAAACATGTTTCCATACTTTTATTTAAAGTCAGTTTTTTTAAAATTCCCTGTTTGCTTTATTTCTTACATTTTGTTTAAGAAGGGTATTGCTGATTTGCAGGCAGGGCTGGCTGAAGGCAGGAACAAGGGGCTCAAATAACTCACAACAAAATGTTAGAGTTGCAAAAATTGTAAAGATTTAAAAAACATATATCAACAAGCAAAGAGAAAAGGGATATTTGTGGTGAAAATTTGTGGGCAGAACTTAATATCACATTAAATGCCGGATAATTCAACTCCAAATAAGGTCTTATTTTATACATGTGAAAACTAAATTAAAGACATTTTTCAAAATATGTTTATTCCTCTAAAAATTTTATAAACTTTTGCCTGTTAGTGTGACAAGTGGCAAAAGATCATTTTCGAGACTAGAGTTTATAAAAAACATTTTTTTCATTCCACAATGGGACAACAGAGATTAAAGAGTCTAGCAGTAATTTGTACAGAAGATGAAACAGTCAGAGAAGCCCGGCATGGCCAGGTGGTTAAAGCACTCGACTCGCAATCTGAGGGTCGCGGGTTCGAATCCCCGTCACACCAAACATGCTTGCCCTTTCAGCTGTGGGGGTGTT